TGTGGCCTTAATCCTCGAGACCTCCGTGCCCGTTAATGCACACTGAGTGCCAGCATTGGATGGTTTCTCATGGTGTGTGTCCTCCGGGGCAGCTCCTGACATTAGTATTAGTGTGACGTGTGAAAAAATTCTAATTTGTACGAATATGAATAGGATACAAATAAAATTAAAAAAAAATATGCTGGTTCTTCAAACTATGGTGCGAATTTACCTAAATCAACTACAAGCCCAACTGGTACAGACATACCAATCTCACATTCATGTTAAAGACATTAGAAAGAGTGGTAAAAAACCACATTCGAAAGACAGCATTGAAGAACGATTCGTGAACAATTTGCATACCAACAAGGGAGATCCGCAGAGCTAGCCCTGGATGACCTGTGTAAATGCCTAATCAAATCCTATAGTCATCTTCTCTGACAGTCAAGCAAAGGCCCTAGCCTCGTGCGAGGTGAAGACAAGAGTGTTTGGAATTGCATGGAGGCCCTGACGGAAGTCAGTGACACTAATGACCTGACCCTGGCATTGGTCTCTGGGCATTCCGGGCGTAGAGGCAATGAAAAAGTTGACATGTTGGCCAAAGAGGGACCCAACACGTACTCTCTAGGTCCTGAACCCTACTGCAGTTTGTTATCCTGCCACAAAAAAGGATATATCTTAAAATGGATCCTTAATGCAAAACCTGGTGGAATAATACTACAGGTATGAGGCACGCGAAGCGATTCTTGGAAGGACCATCTGCAAAACCTACAAAATAATTACTGGAAGGCAATCCCAACCGAAACAGGATTTTAGTTTGACTCCTGACAGTACACTGCCACTTAAGAAAGCACATGCATCGGATAGGAGTATAGACTGAAGAAACACTGTGCAGATACTGCCAGGAAAAGGAAGAGACCGTAGAACACATTTTATGTTTCTTCTGGTCTTGCAACCAGGGCAGGAAAAACCGCAGGAAAGATCCTACACTAAGGAGCCATTGGCAAAGCTATTGTTGATTAACAACCTGAAGGCAGGTCATAAAATACAGGGGCTGTCAATAAGATCCATTCAGGTCGAGGTGCATAAGGTCTTGTGACCGCCTCTTTTATCCCTATCACTCCCTACCCCTACCTAAATCACCTGTGAGAGATGATTTTGTTGGGCGATGTTCAACCTCTTTTGCGAGGGAGGGCAAATTTTATTATTTGTCTTAGTGCTCCATTCTTTCAGAGTTTCGGGTTATCCGTTTTAGAAAACACAAGAATTTTGTGACTGGACTCATCTTTGATTGCAAAACCCGATTGTTCAGACTTGGTTAATTTTGCAAAGAGGAGCAGATTAGTTTTAATTTTTTTCCCAACAATTATAAAATATCTTCTATTCGAGTGATTTTGAGTCCACTATCTTCAAAAGGCGGTTTTTTTCCCGACGAACAGCTAGGTTATAGTTGGCCCTCACTTTTTCGTCTTCTGAATTCTCCTCTGCATATTTTATATGACGGGTTTCCATGGTACGCAATATTCCGATGGTAGCCCATTATCATTCTCCCAAAAACCTATGTAAACCACCATGCTTACCCATACATCCATCGTCATTAACTATTTACATTAAAAACATAGGGCCATCGGACTTCACAAAATTCCATGACCACTCCTCATTCATACCCACCAGTAACTAAAACCTAAGTAACAAGACGTCGAGGTATTTGGATATTTCTTCGTTAGGCGTTCGCTCATTCAACCAACATTCTCGCTAATAAATACATCCTTAATTATAAGACAGGAAAAGTTAGGGTATGGTTAGGTTAGGTTAGCTTTAGTGTGAAGAGGTTAGATTAGGTTATATGCATTCAACACTCTCAGATATTTAAATAGGTTTTTCCTATAACTTCTATATATTTCTTCTTAACTTCCATTCCCCTATAACTTTTCCTATTCACTGCACTTTTTCACCTGAGAGTAGGCCACACCATTCTCTATGAATTTTTAAAGCACCACAGTGCACTATTTTACCGGCTCATTATTTGTGGCACTATTGTCGGCCGCCAACTTTGCGTTTATAATACTTTATGAAAATGTATTTTCTTTTTGTAAATATTTTTTTTTACATTGATTCGATAATACTTTTAATTAATTGGAAAAACAAACGATCCTGCGTCATGGACAGACAAGGCCAGGATAACCGGACAACTCAAACAGACGTTGCTTGTGGTTTTGGTTTTCCAATGATTTTAATTTTTTTAAAAATAAGTTTAACTTCATTTTGAGGCATTCATATCCTCTTCCTCAGTAAGAATTTCTTTGAGCCTTAACAGACGACAAAAATACGAAGAAAATTCAACAGATGTCATCCCAAAGGGCACATATCGTTTTTAATCATTATTTATTGCAGTAATCAATAACAAATAAATTTAAATCTGTATTTAAAAAAATCCTATATGTTTTATATTACTTTTGGTACAGCGTTAATTAATTATAGTTTAAGATTGATTCACCGTCTCAAATTTGTTGAATTTTTATAAGAAAGACGGTGAATATGAGAGAATTTATCGATTACACATTCAAATCCTGCCAGTATAAATAGATAATATCGATTAAATGTTTTTCTTTTTTAATAAATGTTTACAGAAATGTAATCGAATATTTTCTTAAAAGGCGTTTCGAGTTCGATTTCAATTGCAGTTAATTAAACGCCAGGGTGTTTCACAATCGTTTCTGGCCCTGGTCCGCCTAGTCTCGCTTTTTGCTATAGCCAGATAGCTTTTCGCCGGTGGATTTCTGTGTGCTGACGAAACACAGACAATTTTGTTTTTGTCGTTACTGACAGTGTAGAGCAAAGAGGTCTTGCAACAGTAATCCTTAATTATGGCCATATTAACAACTCTGCCAAGAAACCCTTTTTAAACGAGAATTAATAATTAATTCTATTGATTTATGGTGCATGACAACTGGTTTTATTCATGTACCTCGAGAATTTTCAGAGCTAAAGATCACAATCTAAAATCCGCAGAAATCTGTTTCGCGTGTATAAAACCAGATAAAATAGGATATTATCAGAAGAATAAGGTTTTAGCCGGTAAATTTGACGATTTAATGTATTTTTTAAAATAGTAAAACAAGAAAAAAGACGAATTTTGAGCTAAAAAAATATCCATTTCGAGTTTCAAAGGAAGAACAAGACCATATAAATTTTCTCTGTCCATCACTTGGAAAGGTTCAAGATTTTCATTTTTCAAAATTTATTAAAAATAATTATATTAAATTAATAAATAGATGTCAATTTTTTTTGTTTAGCAGTCTGTGGCTAATAGTATTGTTTTTATAAAACTAATAATTATAATAAATTAGAAAACACCTCAAATTTCAGCAACTGATTTTTCTGGCTTTTTGACTTTCTAAGCATTTGAAAAAGCATCTATAATCTAGTTCGAGAATAACAATTTTAATGACAGACCAACCAAACTAAGTGAAGATTTTTCTGTCAGTTCGTTATCTGGAATGAATGTATTTATTAGCGTGATTGTTGAGAGTGGGTGGCTTGTCGGGGAATATCGAGTCCCCACAAACCCACCAAACTAGGTGAAGATTTTTCTGTGAGCGTTTTGTATTTTGAATGAATGTATTTATTAGCGAAAGTGGCTTGTAGCGGAATATCGAGTTCCCAACGATCCTCCAAACTAAGTGAAGATTTTTCTGTCAGTGTTTTGTGTCTTGAATGAACGCATTTATTAGCGAGAAGGTTGAGCATGTGTGAGAGGGTTGTGGCGGAATATCCAGTTCCCACAGACCCACCAAACTAGGTGAAGAGTTTTCTGTGAGCGTTTTGTATTTTGAATGAATGTATTTATTAGCGAAAGTGGCTTGTAGCGGAATATCCAGTTCCCACAGACCCACCAAACTAGGTTAGGGTTTTTCTGTGAGTGTTTTGTGCCTTGAATGAATGCATTTACTAGCGAGAATGTTGAGCATGTGTGAGAGGGTTGTGGCTGAATATCGAGTTCCCACAAACACACCAAACTAGGTGAAGATTTTTCTGTGAGCGTTTTGTATTTTGAATGAATGTATTTATTAGCGTAAGTGTTGAGTGTGGCTGGCTTGTGGCAGATTATCGAGTTTCCACAAACCCACCAAACTAGGTTAGGCTTTTTCTGTGAGTGTTTTGTGTCTTGAATGAATGTATTTATTAGCGTGAGTGGCTTGTGGCGGAATATCGAGTTCCCACAGACCCACCAAACTAGGAGAAGATTTTTCTGTGAGTGTTTTGTGTCTTGAAGAATACATTTATTAGCGAGTCTTGAATGTGGGTGGGTTAAACCTTTTTAAAAAGTAGTTCCTCCTCACAGATAGTTGTCAACGATCCTGATTTCAAGCTTATAGCTCATCATCAGGTTGAAGGAATTTACAACTACGTCTATCGACAATTCCTCTTCTTAAAAAGCTTTACTAAAAACTTAAATTAGAGTTGCAAAATGGTCATATATCTTTTAAAAGAAACTATATATAATAAAAAACTATGAATATATAAGATGATAAGCTTTATATTAAAATGTAAAATAATACGATCCTTTGTTATACTTATGATTTTTAAAGATGGAGATGCTGATGATGGGTGAAAATTTCCGAAAAAAATAAATCCGGTGGGTTAAATCTTTAGTAATAAATTTACTTTGTAAAAAGCCAAGTGTTTTGTTTCTTTTTAACAAAAACCAAAAAATTTAAAAAAGAATTAGTCTCAAAAATCTTCGTGTTCTAAAACAAGCCACTTTATAATAATAAATTACACGACATAGAAAATTCTCAGGCAGTTTCTGAAGTTGAAGTTTGGTAAAAGAGGACCGGCTGGAATAATATAATAAACACGTAGGCGTTAATAGTTAGGAAAAAAATAGTCATAAATTGCAGTCAAAAAATGTGCTTTTTTGCAATTTTAAACTTGAAATTTGAAAGTAGTCCAATTCTAACGGTTGTCGCCGCGTGGGAGTTTTAATTGACAAGTGAATCGAAAATTGATCTATTTACCGAGTTTCCCCATGAGGAGGTCGAGATCGTCTTTGAGCTGGGCCGGCATCTTTCCTTCTTCGGCTTCTCGCTGTCGACTGTGGAGAGGAAGACGTGCCCAGCTGGAAACTTCACGCCCCGTCCATCCCCACTCGGCCATAGGAAAACGCTATAAACTTTGCAAACAAAAAGCCGACCCGCGTTCAATTCCTTCTTTTTAATTTTTACACTCTTAAAAGTCTGTTAAAACGCAACCATTAACTTTGCTACCTTAGATTTTATTTTGTAGTATTTGTATAATTTTGATATTGCTGTTTTTGGTACAACCCCATGACCAGTTGAATACCATAGTCAACACAGGCTTTAGGTCTCGTTTGTACATTTTATTTTGTATAGTAAACCACGTCCTATTAATCAGTATAGTTGTCTATACCTTAAACCTATTTCTGTCTTTTTTTTTCTTCACGTGCTCTTTCCACCTAAACTCGGCGTCTAAGGTCATCCCAAGATAGTTAGCTGTACCTATAACTATAGTATAATATTTCAATCAATTATGAGAGACAGGAACATGATCCACTGTTTTGTTTGTAAAGTTTATACGAGCTGATTTTTGATTGAGCTAGATTATCTATTTTTGTCCATTTGTCTTATTACAAGCCTTTCGAAAGATTTTGGTTGATTGGTTGGTCGTATATCACCGCTATGTCAACTTAAAATGTTTCAATTATTACTCCATATATTTTCAGAAAATCAGTAGTGTATAACAAATAAAGCAGTGGGCCTAGTACGCAACCTTGTGGCACTCCTGCATTTAGTGTTTTTCATTCTGAATATTGATCTCGTTTGACTCTAAAATCCATTTCCTACCTAACTGACAATATGTACATATTAATTTGATAGCATCCCCTTTACTTTATTGATGAGTCCTTCCTGACAGAACTTGTCAAAAGCTTGTGAGACATCAAGTTAGATAGCAGAACAAAATATTTTTTCAAGAGATTTTACTATTGCCTCTGTTACTCAGTGAATTTGGTCTATTTTTTTTTTTTTTTTTTTTTTTTTTTTTTNTTTTGATTGGGGCTTCCGACATCTAGGTCATTTCAGCCCCCAACTAAGTTTATATTCTATTTACCCTTTCAAACATTACATTCATACAAATAAATACATTCATACACATAAGTACATCCATACAGTACACTCATTCCGTTTTGTCGGTGGAGTACTTGATATTCCTCCAATCAAATCTAAATTGGGATCTTTGGAGTACTTTTATAAATATTCCACCATCGACCCCGAACACACACTTTTACGCTCTCAACGTTCGAGGGGCAATGATGTTATATTTCACCCTCACCCCTCGCCATTCACGCTAATAAATACATGCACTCAGACAAAACATATAGACACACAACATATAAGACATTTTATATACAATAAAAAACCCCAATTTCCTCTAAAAAGCGGAACAGTGGACTCTTTGTCCGAATTTGGTCTATTGTTGAATGTCTTGTTCGGAATCCAAATTGGTGGTCAGGGATGATTTTCTTTTTTTTTTACAATGGGTTATATGCAAAATGTTGAAAATAATTCACTCACTCTTCCATGGCGTCTGATATCCTGGGTAAGTTTGTAATTGATTCATTTCTACTGGTATCCTTGATTTTTTTTAATCATGAAGAAATTTTTGGTTTGGGGTTACACTTCCACACTTTATCTCATTTCATACTGCGAATGTATCCTTTGGGTGCTTTGGTATAGGTTACTTGAATTTCAGGATCCTCGGCAGCTTCCTTAAGTTTTATTGGTCAAATTTAGGTTGATGGTCAAATAGGACCGCCCATTTCATTGCCTAATATTCTGCAGTGAACTTTTACTTTTTCTAATTAATTTTCCACCCAGGTTCTTTTATTTTTAATATGTATAATTTTCAAAACTATTTTCATCATTCCAATTTTTTTAATTTTGCTAATACAGACCTCAATGTCTGTCTTTAGCCACTTTATTTTGTACGTTTTGCCCCCAAGGTGTCCCTGGATACTCGTACCTCGAAGTTGAAGAGCCATTGGTTGCTTCTGAGTAGTCGTGGGGGTTTAAAACCCGAATATTCCCCCACTGGCGAAGTTCGAGTGGAGGATGCCTTGGTCCTCATATCTTTTCATGGGAGTATTAATATTTTAGATGTTTCAGTAGTTTCATTAAGTTTTTTTTAGATATTTGATACAATTTCTGGTGCGATAGGTAACTGATATCTAGTTGAAATAGTCAAATACATCAATACGCCAACTCGCAACTCACGACTTCACCAGTAGGTGAAAATCTAAAAACTGGTTAAAACACTTACATTTTCAAAGATTTTTGGTATTTTAGATGTTTCACTAGTTTCATACAGGTTTTTTTACATATTTGGTACAATTTCTGGAGCGATAGGTATCCGAGGTCTAGTTGAAATAGTCAAATACATCAATATAATAAAATAAATAAATAAAAATAAGTAAGCCTTTTTTATTGGTTTAAAATATGTACATAATTGAAACAGAGAGGAAAAAAATATTGATTTTCTTTTAGTTTTTTCTTCTTTTTTTACTTCTCTTTCTTCCTCTTCTACTTCTTCCATGTCATAGTCATTTATAAACCAGCCCTATTTAGAGCGAAGGCCTCTCCCTTTTCCCTCCAAGCTATCTTCTCTCTTGTTAGTATTCGTCATGAACCTCCGGCAAACTCCCGAAAATCGTCTTCCCATCATTTCTGTGGTCACTTCTTCTCCTAGTGGATAAGTGTGGTGTCCAATCCCTTTTTGGTCCATTTACCATCTGGAGAACGAATCACATGACCTGTCCAATTCCACTTCATTAGTCTAATTTTCGCAGTTACATCTTTTGCATTAGTTTTCTTTCTAATATCAGTTTTTTCATCAGTCCTTCCTTTTTATATTTAACATGCTTCTTTGTTAACGCTCCATTGTTCTTTGAGTGACACTCATCCTACCCATAGTTTTGTTAGAGGCCACATTTGAGCACCATACGTTAGGGTTAGTATTCTTCCTTTTTTGTAAGGTGTAATTTTTTAATATGTATTTCAGGCTCCAATACTTTTTCCACGATAGTGAGTTTCTTCTTTGGGTTTCTTTTGTAATTTTTCTTTGAAGCTCATTAATTGTCCTAAGTATACCGTTTCTTCTACATAATTCAATTCTCTATTCAATAGATTTATACTTGCATATTGATGTATTTGTATGTATGTACAACTGGTAGGTGAAAAACTAAAAACCGGTTAAAACACTTTTTCAAAGTTTTTGGTTTTGATTAATGTGTGGGTTTGAACATTATGGGTATTGTTTTCAATTTTTGCATCGCTGATACGCACCAGAGTGGGAAATATGAAATGTAAAATCAAACACTTTGTTTATTTTAATTCAAAATATTATTTAATTAAGATTCTTTTTTTAAAAAATATGAATTATCACATATTACAACTCCGACGATTTTGTTCTTTTGCTAAAATTTCGTTTTTATATAGTTCATAAAATAAACTCAGCTCATTAGATCAACATTTTTCTCTTGTTCCTTACATTTATTATTATAACAACTAATTTTATTTAAAATTGTTTATATAACATTTCATTTGTTTAAAAGTAACAATAAATTAGATTATCTCTATAATAGTTTTTTCTTATAAATATACAAGTACAATTTAATATCTTTACAATTATAATTATATTGTACATTAAACATTTGGAAAAAAAAAAGAAAGATGAAATGACTACGTTTAGGCCTCATTTAAGGGAAATGTACAACACGCACAGAGTATGAAGCACATGAATGTTTTTGTGCACAGCTTTTTTCAACTTTAACATTATTTTAAAATATTGCACACTTAAATGTTAAGTAATCAACAAGCCCTTTGAGATCGACATATATACAACACACAAATAAGCCTACGAGAAAGAACCCCAGCGTAAAATTAATAATTCTTTTAAATTTAATTACATAATGGTGAATCTAATCGATGACAGTAAGCGAAATTTGCCTTCAAGTCTAGCATAAAAGCATGAAATAAATTTGCTAATTTATGAGTAACTCAATTGGATTTTGATTTCAAAACTTTTGTGATATGGCTATTTAACCAATGAACATTATTCTATTGACTCACTCATAATAAATTACTTATTTTTATAGCATATCTAATAAAAGAACCTTTAATCCTACTTTATATCTGTTTTATTAAACATCTATGAGGTAACGAGGTGTTTCAAGATGGATTTTCAACTAGAATATTTTGTCTAACTACGTGAAAATAGATTTTCCATGACAAATCTTTTAAAAATGGACAAATATTGTACTTTGTAGCACCAAATATACAAAAATTTACCTTTAAAGAATAGCTACTGAACTATACATGAAAAGGTACAAAAACCCCTTCATTTCCGTCTTTTAGAATATTCATTAAGAAAAAAAAAGTATAAATATTTGGCAAGAATATTTACAAACAAAGTCACGTTAAGCGTAAAGTTACAAGAGACACTGGTTGGATATGATTGGTTGTCGTCTCTAGTGGCTGGTCTCATACTTGAGTAGACGACTTGGGCCGAGATTTTTTCCTGCGACGAGCGAGATCGCTCATAACGACTGGACCGAGGTTAGGTGTTTGCAAGCCTATTGCTTTGTAGGTCGCTGCGACGGCGGCTTTGACATCCGCTGAAGCTACACAGACGAGTCTGACGGCGGGGAGTCGATGCCTCTGAGTCAGCCACGGTTCCGACAGAAGAACGCCCGCAGTCGGCCTCTTGCCCGGGTCCACGTGAAGCATCTTTTTCACCAATTCCTGTGACAAAAGAATGTTGAATATTTTTCTCGAGGTATTGGCTACTGCAATAGTTCACCTTAGCTTCAGTTGATATATGGACCCAGTTTTCACTTTCCAGGTCGATTTTGCTGTCACCTATCCTCTGCAAAATATCAGTTGGAGTGTCTGTTGGGCTATTTGCAAAGGGTGTTTTTCTGAAATTTTTTTTTTAATGTACTAAAACTTTATTTATTGAAAATTAAAATCAGAATAAGAATTCAAGCTTACCCTGCCAAAAGCGTGTAGAGGAGAATGCCAAGAGACCAAATGTCACAGGCTGCATCGTAGCCTTGTTTTTTAAGGACTTCAGGTGCGACGAAGTTTGCTGTGTAACACGGAGTCATCAGAAGTCCGTTTTCTGCCCGTAACTGTTTTGCAAAGCCGAAATCGCAGAGCCTGAGCGCTTCGGGGTTTGCAGTTTCTGTAGCGTACAATAAATTGCTCGGTTTCAAATCTCTATGGACTACCTGTAAAATTAGTACAATTATTTATTGGGTTATTATCACATGTAATTTCGATTTACGTACCCCGTGCTGGTGAAGATAACCGACTGTCGAGATGACAGTATGCATTATCGCAGATGCTTCTCGCTCTGAAAACGCTTTCAGCCTGAGAATCCTGTCTAGCAATTCTCCACCTCTCATCAATTCCATTACCAAATAAACACTATTATCATCTTCATAAACCTAAAATACAATAAAACCAATTTTTCATATAAGAAGAATCATCATAAAAGAAAGAAAGAAGAAAAATAACTTTAGTCTGGGACTATTGTCGCCTAAGAATAATTTACACGAACTAAATAAAGGAAGTTCCTTCTATGAAGTTAAAAAAAAAAAAAAGAGAGTGAGAGAGAAATCTTGGCACAATGTATACCAATAAGGCAGAACAGAAGAAAAAATTACGAGAATATTAAACAAAAATAACAAATGTTAACGTGAGGTCTCTGCTTGGAGGGAGAGGAGGTGATTATACAGGTGGGATTTAAAGGAAGAAAAGGAGGCAGCGTGACGAATAGAAAGGGGACGGGAGTTCCAGCATTTAGGGGCCCGGATCAGAAAGGATCTTTCGAAGGTATGGGTTATATGTTGAGGAAGGATAAGATCGATTGGGGATGAGCGGGTCTTACAAGTGAGATGTGAAGAGTTGAACTGGAGGGATTGGATGATGTAAGGAGGACGACGAGTGTGGATGGACTGGAAAATAAAGCAACCTAGGAAATACTGGGCACGGAAGGAGGGGAATAGCCAGGAAAGTTGGGAATACAACCTCGACACCCGGGATCCCTGTGGGGTGCCGTACACAAATCTTATGCAACAATTCATAATACGCTTCAATCGCGCGTTCTCCACCTCCGAGAGACTACCGTATGCCAAACAGCTATAATCAAAGAAGGGAAGTATAAGGGAAGATACAAGGAGTTTGCGAGTGGAGAAAGGTAAGAGAAGACAGGACCGACGAAACAGGCTGAAGGAGGCAATGGAATAGCGGGAAATTTGGGAAATGTGAGAATGCCAGGAAAGGTTTTGGTAGTACTCCTAATCGAAGAGTAGAATGGGATGGGATGGTTATTTAGCCTGAGAAGTGGGATGCTGGGGAGGGAATTGAGGAGTTGCCTTGACCCGATAATTATGGCGGTGGATTTGGACGGATTGAGGACTAGGGAATTTTTATGGGCCCATTCGTTGATGGAGTTTAGGTCTTTTTGGATCTTGAGAGTGGCCGAGTGAAGATCGGAAGGGTGGAAGGATATGTATATTTGGGAGTCATCGGCATATAGGTGATTGTTACAGGACTGGATGGAGTCGAGCAGATCATTGATATAAATGGAAAAAAGGATAGGAGAGATGCTAGAGCCTTGGGGCACCCCAGATTTTAGAGGGAGGAAGGAGGAGGTAAGGCCATTGGGAAGGGAGACAGCTTGGTGGCGATTGGTAAAGTAGGAGTGGAACCTACGGATGGTGCTGGCGGAGAAGGAAAAAGATTCGTGTTTAGAGAGGAGAGAAGAGTGAGAGACAGAATCGAAGGCTTTAGAAAAATCAAGAAGGACAAGTATAGTAACTTTCCGTTGGTCCATTGCTAAGTGGAGGTCACTGGTAATTTTTATTAGTGCTGATTGGGTGGAACCTTCATTTAATCATACTAACAAAAGAGTGAATAATTGAGTGATTACTTACTTCTCTTAATGTTACTATATTTGGATGACCTCTGTATCTTAATAAAATGTCTACTTCTTCCTGGCAGTCCCTTTTTGATTTGTCGATCACTTTGATAGCGCATTCCGACCTAGAAACTCTGTGGATGGCCAGGCGGCAAACGGAGTAACTACCTCTTCCTATTTCTTCTCTCAGTTCATACTCATCGTTTATATTGGTTTGTTTGGAAAACGGCATCTGAAAATTACAGAAAAGCTCGTTAATATTTATCATAAGATTTATTTTCTGTGTCATACCCGAGTGAGCGGTTCGATCCTATTCTGATTGTTGGGCTCGGGCTCCAGCAAACAAGGAGCGATGAAACTGAACCCTCTGAACAGCTCATGAGCGTTGGCACTTGGAGGTACTCCGGGTGAATCTAGACCGAAATTTACAATTTGATCGAACAATTCTTCAAAACGAAACGCAATTACCACCTTTAGGGGATTTCAATGTGAATTCTGAATCAAAATAAAAGACATCATCAGCTCTTTGGGCTGGCTTGAATGGAGGCTGTATGGCCTTTTTGACTAGTTTGTCCCAGTCGATGGTCGCGAAGAAAGAATGGTTTTTAATTTCATTGACTCCATCTGGACCTTTAAGATTAATTCATATTATAAAATTTAATATCAACTGTAGAACCGCAACGGTGTACCTGCGCCGAGCCTATTGGCTGGATTTCTTTTGAACAAGACCCTCAGGAGGCTCTGCGCTTCCATTGAAAGGTGCGGCGGCATGCCGAGTTTCGCTTTTAAGATCTGTGTCATTGTCTCCTTTCTGTTAGATCCTTGAAATGGCAACGCACCGGTCAACATCTCAAACTGAAAATCATAAAATAAACTCAATTATGTCAAGATTTCTACACTTAAGTAAATTGAAAACTGATTTCAGATAACTACAAAAATATGTTAGGGTTTTTTTGCCATGGGGAGAATGATTACTATATTTTTGTACTATCTGACCAATAAGATTCTATCGGATCTACCCAAAAAACACCTAAAGAGTGTACTGTATTTAATACATTTTTCTTCAAATAAATATATTGTAAAAAAATAGGAAAATAATTATTTGATTTCCAGAAAAAAACGTCATGTTGATTGAACAATTTATTTCTGTTAAAAAAATAAGCAGTTCTACTTGCTCAACATAAGACAATTTAGATCCATGTATTTCTGTTTCCAAGGTTACAAATTTGTCAATTTTTGTTAGAGTTTGTAGTGTAAAGTTAGAACAATGCCTACACCTGATAACTCCAAGATGAAATCTGATGAAGAGTCCGAAGAGTCAGAAGAGTCTTTCACCAATGAATGCTTCAGGCTCAAGCCGCGACGCTACTGTGGTACATCAAACCTCCTTAAAAATGACTTACATTTTGTGGACAAAAAGACTGTGGCTAGCCTGTCAGGGCGGGTGATTGTCTTTAATAATCTCTTCACAAAAAAGCAACATTTCATAAACCTATTTGAAGCGCTGACGGAGATACACATGATGATTATGGCCCCAGACAGAAAGCACATAGCGTTGGCTGAAAAAGCCTACAATAAACCGTTTATTTCTGTGTACAACATCGAGCAAGGTAAACGTGTTCAAGTATTGCGAGCTCCGAGGAGTACCATTTCAGTAAAGCAATACACGACTATTACGTTTACTTGTAAAAGTGACACGATTGTCGCTGTCGCCGGGGATCCGGATTGGAAAGTTTTGTTTTACAACATCCACACGGGCACTTTGAGCTCTGTCATCAATAAAATCGGAAAGAAGAGAAAAAGACCGAAAGTGACCCAGATCTGCTGTCACCCGAACGATCCGACTCAGATGATACTCCTAGGAAACGACTATTATCAAATGTTTAGATGTGTGGACAACGAATGGAGTTCCTACGGTTTCAGCGGGATGCCTAATGTTATAATAACAGGTACGTGCTGGGTCTCTGTGGTCACCACTCTCCTAGGGACAAAAGACGGACGTCTGTTATTCTTGGAAAATGGCCATGTTCAATGTGTGTACAAAGCATGCAACATCTCTTCTATAAATATAGCGACCGAAGAGCTGGACAATGCTTTGTTACAAGATACTGTAGACACGAAAGGCAGCGATCTTAGCATAGATGAAGAGGTACGGGCTTTGATCGGATTCGAGCAAGGGTTCGCTTATTCTTGCAACTTAGGAGAGGTGATGTTATTCCTAAGACTTTCAGAATCCGAGCAAAACAAAAAATGGGCAAAGAGGGGGGTGTATCGTGTGTGCGGACCTCCGGTCGGTGTCATAGACATAAAATTGATCGACGTCATTCAGCACATCTGCATCAGCCCGGATGAAAACGTCATCGCCTGTACAACATTACGAGAAGAAATCTTTTTCGGCGTAATCCAAGAAGACTTTCACTGGAAACAAATAACAGAGGTCAATTTTAGAAAATTGTTCGGGGACATCCACCAGGGACCTATCGCCACTGTCAGTGTGGCACAATGGAAATGTATTTTTCTCACTGCCGGAATAGTTGATAGGACTGTCATCGTTTGGGATTTCAAAGCGCTCGATAAACTATTTCGAAGAGAATTTCAGGATGACATTCACAGTGCGAGTATACATCCGACTGGAATGTTTTGCCTATTAGGATTTACCGACAGGATAAGGTTGTGCGTTGTTTTTGTAAACAATTTACGATTTATAAGACATGTTGCAATCCGTGCTTGTTCTCTGTTAGAATTTTCTTCAGGGGGTCACTTATTCGCAGCACTCAACGATGTGTATATTCAAGTGTACTCGTCCATAACGCTCAAATGCCTCTGCATATTCAAAGGGCATGTGGAGCCGGCTCGATGCATCAGGTTCAGTTCAGACGATTATTTCATATTCTCTTCCGGCCTTGAGGGTTCAGTTTTTAAATGGGCTGTCAAAAAAGGTGTGCGGAGTTTCGACTACTTCACAAGGCGAAACGTCACATGCGGAATCGAGTTCGTCGAATCGGAAGATATGTGCTATTTGGTGGGCACGGACGGTTTCCTCAGGGAATTGGTGCACGGAGAACTGAACAGGACATTTGACTTGGCATTGGGGTCGTTGTACACCATCAGGCTTTCGACCTGCGGTAGAAAAATGTTTGCCGCCGGAGAAGAGGGCATAATAGTCTCACTACCCAATCCGATTTACACTCCTATAACATACATAGAATACGCCATGCACACAGCCCCCGTGAAAAAAGTTTTAATGACACATGATGATAATTTACTCATGTCTATAAGTGATGACGGTTCAACCTGTTTCTGGGATATTTTACCACCTGGAAGTGACGAATCTTCATCTTCTAGTGCTGGGATTTCAGAAGACGAAGATGAAAACTTTGACCTGGATGAAGTCGAGGATGACGGAAAGTACCTCACACACGTCATAATCGACTTGGTGGATTGGAACTACAAGAAAAAATATATGTTGGAGCTGGAATCGAGAATTGTTGAATTGGAGAAGGAAAACGAGTTCATACTATGGCAAGCGCTTTCCGCCTTTGACAGGCTGGTCAAAATAACCCAGTCCGAATTCGCTCAAGGGGTCGCGAAACTTGAGGTCCAGTTAAACGCCATAGACAGATCGACTGTAACACAACTTGGAGAGTGGACGGCGATGATAGCAAACATAGAAGAAGAGGAACAAGAATTGGAAGTGGCAGTGGCACTTAGGAGTGATAAGCTTTTTAAAGGGTCAAAATCTTTCATGGAAAAGTATAATATGAAAATTCTACACGTCATCGATTCGACTCTAAACGGGTTCAAAGAATTCAGCAAACTCAAAAATAGAGATCTTATAAACAAACTCAAAGAGCATAACATGTTAAACTCCGAGATTGAAAAGTTAGAGAAGGTGAATATAGAAAACACCCAAAAAAAAGAAGACGAAACCGACAAAGAAATATGCCAGCTGAAAAAAAATTATGATGCAAAAGTTGCAGAGGAAGAAAGCATCAACACCTCGCTCCGCAGCGAGAATGAATTTCTAGCCAAGCAATGTATGAAAATGAACAGAACGATATTGAAGTGTCATTTTAGACTGTTGTCATTAGTAAAACAAAAGAGACAAATGCAAAAAAGCGCCAATAAAAAAGAAATGGTTGCGAATCAACTGAGGAATGAAATCGCCGTAAGAGATGAGCAAGTACGGCGCAACAACAATGCTCTGAGATATGCCATCTCCTTACAGAACAGTTACAACAAACACAAGATCGTAATGAATCGCAAGGTGAAGGAAGTTCAAAGCTTGGTCGACCCGCTTAAACTGATATGCAGACAAACAATAGAGAGGTACAACAAGCTAGAGTCACGTTTCAACGCAAAGAACTGCATTATTTTACGTAGAAAGAAGAGGTTCAAGCAGAAGAAGAAGCTATACCGCCAAATCCGCAAGGCAATGACGTTGAGCTGGAAGAGGAGCGAGGCAGTCTTCCGAGTCCTCCGAAAGATAGAAAATGAAATCAATACGCATGCTGCTGCTATTAATGAGCCTAAATCGTTTAACAAGTTACTATCAAAGATATCGAACCAGTTTGACAGAAAAGTAAACAATTTAGAGGCGACACGCGAAATTCAAAAAGTCAACGAAATCCGAAGGCAACGAGAGTATCTTGAAGAAATGGTCGACAACTTAAAAGGATCCGTAAAGAGGCACGCACTGCAAAAGTTCATCTTCAAGCGCACGGCCACTCGCAGAATCGCGAGAGAGGTAAAGAACCACCTGGAAGAAGTGAACGCGCACATAGTGTGCTCGTACCGCGAGAAGAAGAAACTCCTGTCCACACAGAAAGCTCATCAGCAATCAGAACTAATTTCAACAACGCTGACAGTCCACGAACGGTTTAACCAAACCGTCAAACCGACCAGATCACATGTGGTGATGAAAGCGCTTGAAATATTGAACAAGTTTGGCACCATTGAAGAGGAAACCAAACGCGGAATGAAAAGCTTGCAACACAAATAATCTCACATCTTAAGAATAAATCTTCCTATAAATAAATAAAACAAACATGAAAAAGTTGTATTTTCTTTTTGTTGCTGTTACTATTACTATACATAAGTGCAAAGACATGTCTAATTAAAACTAAAACAAGTTTAAGGCAGATTTAAACATACAACAAGTTTTTCTTTCAAAATAGAATAAATTTTAACAAATTAGACTAGTCTAAAATATCAAATAAGTGGGATCTTTGAAAACTGTGTAGAGCAAACCTGCCATTTTCTATGTTTTAACGATTAATTAGTTAATAAATATTTTATCATGCTAACTGCTCATGGCTTACCATGAGGACTCCATAGGACCACCAGTCTGCGGCAAAGGAATGGCCTTTCCTGTTCACAACCTCCGGAGCCATGTATTCAACGGTTCCGCAGAAAGAGTAAGCCTTCTGGTCATCGATCGGTTGCTTGCTTAACCCGAAGTCTGTCAATGATATATGACCATCTTGGTCAAGAAGAATACTGGAAAAATAATTTGTTTAAATAATTTATAAAAAGACAAACAAGCCAGCACATACTTTTCTGGTTTCAAGTCTCTGTAAATTATACCAAGGCTGTGTAAGTGGTTGAGCGCCAGCGCCAACTCAGCTAGGTAGAATTTGACATCTTCTTCAGTGAACATCAACTGTTTAAATTAAAAAAAAAAAAATCAAATTTTAGAAGACAGTTGATAAAAGTTTGTCTTTACCTCTTTTGATAATCGTGAGAAAAGATCACCGCCTCTTAAGAAGTCTAGAATCAAGTAAAGTTTTCCTTCAGTCTGAAAAGCATAATGCAAACGGACGATGAATGGGTGCCTCACGTCAACCAGGATGTTTCTCTCCATTTTCGTTCTCATTCTATCACGAACTAAACAAACAAAAGTAATATAAAAAAAATAAAAAAAATCATCCTCTAAGAAAAATTCCGATGAAAATTCATTATCTATGGATTATTTGATAAAAGTTGACTGGCCGACCACAATACATTAAATTTTCAGTGCTAGTGGGTAAAGCATCTGTTTTCATGTCAAGTTAACAACTATCCAAGAAGGCAAGCTGTTATTCAAGACAGCGGATTGCTGAATGAGTAATGCCTGCTAAGCCAGAAGGATTTTCATCAGTGAAAAAGAAGCGAGATCATCTCGACTGGTTACAAACAGTCACATAAATAAATAATGCCGTGATTGCCAGACATACACACTGCACTTTTTTTTCCCCTAGCATTTTTGGTTAAAACAGAATGAACAAAATTGCTTACCTTTTAAAGTGGCTTTTTTCAGCACTTTCATAGCATAGAGTGTACCGCTGTCAGCCCCGACTATCTTCTTTACAAGGAAGACCTGAAAGGAAGGGAAGAATGATTATTTATTCCCTTTTCAATTTACCAACAACTGGCTAGTAATTAAAAATAGTATCTTTTTAGACAAATATATAGAAATGGGTTGCCTTCAAAAATTTGTATTACTTTTGCCCCCAGGGCTTTCATTTTTTTAATTTTTTTCATTTCAAACACACAATACATATAAATATTTTTAATTACATAGTCTTATATGTAGATGTATTGTTTATGACCTTGAGCTACATCGCAACATAAACAGACACTCGCAACACAACAGAAACCATGCTTGCACAAGCTGTTAGGGGACATGAATTTTTCTACCTTTTCTAAAATATCTGAAATGCTCTTTTTATTTATAATATGATATTTTCTTTTCGATATGTTCAACCAAATGTAGTTGTATGATATATGCACGAACACAAAATACACCACAAAGATGTATGATGTATGACCAAGAGAGATAAACTCATAACATAAAGAGGCACAGACACAGAACACAAACCTCAAACTCAAATACACAAACATATTTATATGTATGTGTACATAGCCTTACATGTAGATGTATGACGTATGATCATGAGCTTGCAAAAACACACAACATAAACAGAGTTAGAAAGAGGCACACAACATAAACACACATCTCAAACACAAACACACAATTTAGCACAGACATATTTGTTTGTATGTGTACATAGTCTTACATGTAGATGTATGATGTATGATCATGAGCTTGCAATAAACTTGCAACATAAACATACTTAGAAAGAGGCACACAACACAAACACACATCTCAAACACAAACACACAATATAACATAAACATATTTGTTTGTATGTGTACTTAGTCTTACATGTAGATGTATGACGTATGGTCATGAGCTTGCAATAAACTCACAAAATAAATAGACTTAGAAAGAGGCACACAACATAAACACACATCTCAAACACAAACACACAAAACAACACAAACATATTTGTTTGTATGTGTGCATAGATTTACATGTATATATACAGTAAATGACAATGAGTTTGCAATAAACTCACAACATAAAGGAGTTAGAAGAGGCACACAACACAAACACACAACAACACAAACATGTTTGTTTGTATGTGTACATAGTCTTACATGTAGATGCATGACATATGGTCATGAGCTTGCAATAAACTCACAACATAAACAGACTGAGAAAAAGGCACACAACACAAACACACAATATAATACAAACATATTTGTTTGTATGTGTGCATAGACTTACAAATAGATATATGGTGAATGAACATGAGATTGCAATAAACTCACAACATAAACAGTCTAAGAAGGACCAATACAACACAAACAATCTCCTCAAACAAATACAATACAACACAAACATATTTATATGTATGTACATAGTCTTACATGTAGAAGTATTGTTTATGACTATGAGATTAGAATACTCACATCATAAGCAGACAGAAAGTTACACACAACACAAAAAAAAAACCTCAAACACAAACACACAACACTTTATTTACTTGTATGTATACATAGTCTTAAATGTAGATGTATGGCTTATGATCATAAGCTTGCAGTATATCACAACATAAACAGACATACACAACACAACAAGCTCGCAAGAGCTGTGAGAAGATTGAACTCTTCTTCTTTTTCTAAAATATCTGAAATGTCATTTTTGATAAATGTCATTTGGTTGAAAGCTTTCTGCCTTGTTTTTGAAGCTTTGATGCTAGCATTGTGAATTATATTCTTTAATCTGACGTTTTCGATTATGTATATTTTTATTATCACTTTTTTTGCCATTGTTTGATAAAAGTACTTTTTTATGATTGCCGCTTTGATTTGAATGTTGTAAACGTTGTTTTCTATTTGCTTTGGTATGGCGAAAATCCAGCTAAGGCAAAATGTTAGCAAATGGAAAATAAATGTCTTCAAAATCGGTGTGACTACCGAAAATCTGCCAGATCCTGGAGTAAGGCGTTCGTCTGGCAGAATATAAATCAGCGCAATTTCACCGAAGTTATCTACTTAATTGGAAGCCGATGTTAAAACAGAATTTAATTGGGTTCCGGTGGCTAATGGAGATCGTGTTCTGCCTTCTAAGACCTTCATAAAATTCAGCAAAGCCAAAAATCAAGGATCGATTGGACGCCCAAACTCGTGGATCCACACTTTAAAACTAACACTTCGTATTTGAAAAACTAGGCGATAATTTTTTTTAAATTAATTAATTTTTTGGTGGAAAAGATATTGTAAAAATGTTAGTATATTGTAGTTATTACCTTGCCGAACGAACCCTGTCCTAGGACTTTGAGCAGCTCGAACTGCGATGGGTCCGCTCGGTCGTGTCCTTCCTTGACGACATCCTTTAGCTCGTATTCGTGTTCCAGACTCCCTGAGCTCGACACCTTGTCATCCTGTCAACAGAGAAAAAAACAAATCGTTTATTTAGAGATGAATTTGAATAATAAAAAGTGTGGTAGAAAAGGAGATATGACTGCGGCTGGGAATCATTCATCCAAGAATGTAATTCGGACGAATCCATTTGAAACAATTCAAAAAGTCCTGACGAGAAAGGAAAGCTGGTTTGTCCGATTTTACGCTTTTGCCCATAAAAAAAGCATTTCAGCCCGACTGTCGTTATATTTTAGTAGAAGTCAAATAACCGTAACAGCTTTGTTGAGCTTCTGCCAGCTTTTGGATATACACTCCTGTGTATTTTCTCCCCCTTTTTTTAAGAGATCCCTCTTTTTTTATTTATACCGTTTAAGTAGAAATCGACCCGTTGATTAAATCCCGAGGGATGGGCAATCCCTGCTCAGGGCTAATCCTTGTTTAGCAAGGGTAATTTACTCGAATTGACCTTCCTGATGATTCTTAACTTTCCTATAAAACAACCGGGAAAAAAATCCGATAAAATGGTTTTTTAAGGCATTCTGAACCATAAAGTATAAATGGATATGTTACTTGATTATTAGTGGCTAGGGAAAAAAATCTTCACTAACCGAGTCAAACTTTTTGCCAAAGAAACATAACAATTAATTACAGTAGTTTGGTGAAAATTCGCTTTGAAAGGGTTTTCCATTAAGTACAAGCCCTTCAATTATGAACTGGCCCCTTTGTGGAATTAAGCCCAGCTACCGTGCTTCGTTAATGCCCACTGAAACGACGAACCCCCATGTTTTTTCCCCTATGGAATAAATTTATATTCATTGCCTCAGGATCTTAATCGTTTTTAGAAAAGGGCATATAGCAAAATGAGAAGCGTTTTATACAGCTCATAGGATTTGGTGAGAAATGGGGTATTTTTTATTGTACAAGTCTCGTTTTGAGCATTTTTATTTCAATCACAATCAAAACGCTTTTTACTACTAAACTCAGCCAGAGGACCTGACGACGCTTCCCAACCTATACGCTCAGCGGCTAGGCTCGGAAAAATAGAAATAACCCTGCCAAACCGTGGCAGGTTAAGAAAGACGTCGGTCCCTGGTTTCCTGGAAAATGGGTCAAAAAGGGAAAAGACTACGCATAGGTCATACAAGAATTACGCACGGGCACCTTCTAACAGGAAAGCGACCGCATAGGTGCCCATTATGCAAGGATAGAGTAACAGTCGAGCACCTTTTCTATGTAGAAGGCTCGACGGCCGGGGCTCGGCAGCGGGCACAAATCGCTGTACCGGTAACTCAGGGTTATAGGGATTTTCAAATGTATATAGTTTATGTGTGCTTGTGTTATGTGTGAAGTGTTTGTGTTGTATTTGTGTGGTGTTTATGTTAATATATTAGTATGAATGTAATTTATTAGCGTGAAAGGAAGGGGTTATTTACCCCGCCACGAGGAATATCGAGTACTCAGGGGTGTGTGTGATGTCTGGAGAGCAAAAGTAAGTTACTAGCGCGAATGGAGTGGGTTCGGCCCCGCCCCGAGGAATATCGGATACTCTGGGGTGTGTGTGATGTCTAAGAGCAAAAGTAAGTTACTAGCGCGAATGGAGTGGGTTCGGCCCCGCCCCGAGGAATATCGAATACTCTCGGGTGGGTGAGTGACGTCTGACGAGTATAAGTTATCAGAGTGAATGGAGTGGGTTCAAACCCCGCCCCGAGGAATATCGAGTACTCTGTGGGAGTGAATGTGACCAGACTTCTATGTTTGTCGCGATATATATGTTATGTATTGTATGTTGTGTATCTATTCTTAAATTGACAACCTGAGGTACTAACAAGAGGCTAGCTTTTTAAAATAACGACGTAATATACAAGTAAAAGCAGAGAGTCAGTACCCAGATCGAGATGCTCAAATGGCTGCAGTTCAATACAAAATACGCGAGAAAGACAGGAAAGAGAAGGAATACCCGCGGAGGGACGGCAATGACCTCAGCTGTTTGTCGGCCCATAAACCTTCTACTTTATATATACTACTAAACTGTTTTCCATTTTACCTGGTATTTCTCCATGCATCAATGAAATGTTTAGCTTCGGGAATCGAACACACCGAGCAAGAATCTCAGGTGGAGTTTAAACCAAATGAATCAATTTTCGACAAGCAAAACAGCTTCTGTAGTTAATTAAAACGTTGGCTACGATATTTTATCCGATGTGTATTTATATTTTTGACTTTGATTAAGAGGAAAGGAACGTTCAAGATTAAAGAGGAATTTTCGTTTTAAACAAGTGTAACCTTGCGAAAATAAAATTTTGAAAAGAATGCATAGTTTAAGCAAAAAAACCTAAACAGAAGTTTGGGTCGTTTACCTAGTTTTTCCTTAATTTACCGTCAGACCGACCAAAAGCGGCGAGGATAAGCGGACAAGTATTATAGGAAATGACCGACATACCAAGTTCACCCGGCGAGACATGAACAGGATGTTTGAGTTCAAGAGAAATTTCCAAACAAATTTAAGAACCAGAAAGAATACGAATGACGGGAAAACCATTCAACGGGTCATTGAGAACGGCATGTTGGTACATGAATCTAGAGCACAGGAAGGTATGTGTTCAGAATGTTCGGTCATGGTACCCAATAGATCAAATCTACCAAAATGAAATCCATGTATTTGAGAGGTCCAGTTCAGTTTTAACAAAGAATACAAAAACAAGTATATAGCTAATATGTCTGATAAGCAAGCAGCCATAAAAGCGCTAAGTTCAAACATTACCTCAAAGATGGTGCGGTATTGCAAAACAAAAACAGATTAGTTATACGAAATAAGCCACCCTCTGATGAGTCCCAGGACATGTAGAAGAAGAGGACAACGAGAGAGCAGACGCCCTTGGAAGGACTGCTAATTATCCTGAACCCTTTTTTGGCATAGGGATTCACTCTATCAATGAATATCTTAGACAAAAAAGACAAAATGAAAACGAGGAAAAATTGGACTTCTCTCTTTGGACATAAACAATCCAAGAACCTATTGGGAAGTTTGTAAGGAAAGAAACAACAGGATGCACCAAAGGAAGCTGGAAAAGATTTCGAATCCTGACATTCTTAACAAGACACTGCAGAGTGAAGAAGACTGGTCCCTACACATGCAGATTCTGCAAAAAAAAGCAAGACAATTACTAACAAACTGTGTCGCCGTATTTGTCAGCATAAAGTGTTTTGGGAGGCTCAACCACTGAAACCGCGCCTATAATCAAATTTTTTGATGAACCAGGACTCACCGGTGTGCCATAGGTACAAAACGGTATCTTTCAAAGGGCCCAATATATTACACACCCGAACATTATATCTTACTTCAATTAATTATTCTTTTTATAAAGGTCTTCTTTGAGATGAAAAAGTTGGTGTCACGAGCGGGATTCGAACCCACGACCTTCGGCTCAACTCTTGTCCCGAAGGTCCTGGGTTCGAATCCCGCTCGTGACACTAATTTTTTCATCTCAACCAAAACCTTACATAAAAAGAACAATTAATTGAAATAAGTAATTTGGTCAATTAGACCACTAAAAATATGGATTATTATATCTTACATTGATTTATTATGTTTACACGTCCCTTTAAAAGAGTTCATGTAAAATTTTATTTCCGCTGAAATGTGTAATTTTATTTATATTTATAATTGGTTATATAATCACCGGGAAGTGGTAGGGCAGAGTAGTCCTTGATGAAAACCCCATGTAGAACAGTTTCCATATCAAGTCCATGGAATCCATAAACAGCGTTAACACCTCCCAGGATCAACTCGCAGGCCAAAAATTTCACTAATGACGTGGATTTTCAAATGTTTACAACCACACGGGACAATTGCGCGTTATAGCCCACTAGACCGGAAACATTCGACTATCATGAGCACTGCCGGAACAAGGGGCTTTGCCGGATGTTTTCGGAAACAATATTACCTTTATTAACTTTTTAACTCGTAGAAAGTTCATCAAAAGAGAACAAACAAAATCAGGATAGAGTCGCAGGGCGCTGTGAACGTTTAGTCACCAGCTATGCCCTTGACTCATCTGTAAAAATTATAATTTTGAACGTTGTACCTCAACAGCTAAAGAGGTTTTGCGCTGCGTCCAAGGTAGGACTATTGTACTCACCCCTTTTTGGGTTACAGCACTGTCGTACTTTTTAACAGCCCTCATAGCTTCAATAGTACCTCTTGAATTGTGCTAGATTTTCATTGCAAGACAGTGGCATATAATAATTATGGATGTGCCACGGGTTTCCTCTTCTTCCTGCGTAGGATTCTTTATGCCATTTTTGATCTGAACGTAAGTCTATTGAGCCGCCGATGCCCAAAGGACCTGTAATAATCCAAGGGTTTTCAAATTTTGCTGCAGCACATTTGTTATAGGGATAAGGTTTGAGTCTTTAACTTTATCCATTCGGAAAGTTGTCTTGCAATTTCTCTGGAGGATTCGGGTCACATCATTGCTGAAGAACCTTCCATGGCTAATCTTTCATCTTCCTTCTGTCCTGGGTACTTTGGGACTCAGACAACTGACATTTCCTGCTGGATTGTCCCAGTGCATGCATACAGTCCCATACTTTCCATGATCTTCCCTCAGGTAAGGAAAGTAGTATTTGGAGCTAGGTTGTCCCACTGCACTCATACAATCTCATACGATTCATAACCTTCCCAGGTAAAACAAGTCATTTGGACTTAGCTTGGTTATCAGAGTAGATGCCATGGTTTCTTCCTTACTTACCAAAAATGTTAGCAATATATACGTGTACTAGATAAGGTCAGAGTTGGCTGGTAATCCTTTCCTTCTGCTCCCATAAATTGACATTTCTTTGCGAAATTACACTTAAGAATAATGGCTTCCATGGGCATGCCCGTTATCCATTCGAAGTTTTCCTCTCTTCGTTAGTCGTTTGGCTTGATAGGGATGGGCTACAGTTTCCTATGACTGATCTTGCTTCTCCATGGATAAAGATGGAAGGTAGGTTCAGGAACATATCGGCATGGTTCTCA